GGAAGGGAACACTGTCTGGTGAGAGAACAGGGCACCCCCCTCGCAGGATCTCCTTAGAAAGCCCCGTGCTGGGTGACCATGGGTAACCCGCCTGGCTGCCTCCCAGGAGGCTCTGGAAAGATTAACAAACCCTGTGGAACATTAGTGCCTCTTGTTCTGGATGAAGCACAAGGCAACGACCAAAATACCACTAACACCTTTTCCATAGCCAAGGGGTCACCTTGGCCACTGCAGCTTGCCCCAAAGATGGTCCCAAAGCTGACTGAAGTTTCACTTTGCCTGGTTCTGGGGTCACAGCTCGGGAAATCTTAATAATTGGCACTAAAACGCAGGGAACATGGGTAGAGGCCTGGGGAAGTCAGCGTGGTGAGCAGCAACGCCGAGTAAAGCAGCTTCCTCCTGCCCCACACCAGTGCACAGTCTGAGAAAAACCACAGTGGGGAGGGGAGGGGAGGGGAGTGGCAAAGCGGAGAGAAAGGGGGGTGAGAGCACAGACTCCCCTGGCTTTCACTCTGGGCTCCCATGGACACGGCCCAGGACAGCAAGGGGCGGGGCCCTCCAGGGAGGGCGGGATGCTGGCACGTGTCCTCGCAGAGCCACTTAGAGCCTGGGATGGTGCCCGGCCCAGGCAGCCAGCATTCCTGACTGGGGAGGCGGCCGGCGAGCTTTCAGCACTCCCCACCGGCCCCCTCCGCACCCCAACACCGACTCCTGGGCCTACCGAAGCAAGTTCATCCACCAGCCAGAGAAAGGCCCAGCAGCATTCCCGCCCGAGCGCCAGGCTTGCAGGTAGGTGCTGCCCGGCCAGCAGGGGCTCAGGCCGCGCTGCTCCGGCCTCCTCCTCGCTCTCCTGACCTGCTGCCCTACGACTGATAGGGACCCACCCACCCCCGGGGCTCCTGGTGCACTCTCCGCTCTGAGTGCCGTGGGGACCTGGCAGAGAGACCCATCGCCGCCCCTGGTGCCACACAGCTCCAGGAGGGAGGGGTCACCCGGGCTTGGTCCTCAGTGTCCAGAAGGGTGGAGAGGATGGCAGTTCTGGGAACACGGCTGAAGGCAGGGCAAGGAGCTGTGTCGGGTCGCAGAGGGGCCTCGGGGCTGCCAGACACCCTGCTCTGCATGTCTGCGCTGCCTTCAGCCAGCGGGTCCCACTCTTTGCACTTCTGAGAGACTGGTTGTTCTGATTTGGCTCCCCAGTCGCCAGACTGCAACCTCCTTGAGAGCTTGAGCAGCGTCCCACCGCTGGGACCCTCATCCCTAGCGGAGCAGCTGTGCAGACCTGCAGGTGTGAGTGAATGCACAGAGGGGCCCCAAGTCCCCCAGTCCTCTGAGACCCCTGAGCAGGACACCTGAGGAGCCGGGAGGTGATGGCTTCTGTACAGATAGCATTTCTTCTTTTCTTTCCCCAAAGAGTTGCTTGTATACCTCCCCCTTGATCCTCATGGCAGTGTGACCAGGGCTGTGGGGAAGCCTGTCATCTTTCACTGACTGATGGGCAAAGAGACCGAGGCTCAGAGGGGCGACTTCCCCTCCATTCTTCTGGGTCCCCTGGAAACTCATTTCCCTACAAAGCAAACTTCCTGCCAGCATGACTGCCTCTCACGAGGGGCTGTGGGTCAGAAGCTCACCCACACTGACGTCTGAGAGAAGCCAGGGGTCGGTGCCCAGTCTTGCTGTGGCGGGGTCTCCGTGGCGCCTGGGAGAACCTGGTTTCATTGTCTGCAGACCATGAAGGGGATGGAGGGGCGCGCAGTCAGGGGACCACTGTATAAGCAGCTGGATTTGGAGAGGAAGCATGCCAAGCAGGCCGAAGCCAGGCTGGGGCGACACCTGCAGAGACTGGAGCAAACCCACCTGTACCGCCTGAGGCTGCTGGCCTGGGAACAGAGACAGCTGCACAGGGACCTGCAGAGGCTGCAGCAAGGTAGGCACCCGGGGGCGGGGGCAGGAGGGCCGGGCAGCAGGCCTGCCCCTAGCTCAGGCCCAGTCCCCCGCCCTCCCCGCCACACAGCCCGGAGGCCACCCGGCCTCCTCGAGCCAACACGCTGGCCGGACCCTGGGCTCTCTCCTTGAACCATCGTTTTCTTCTCTCACCCGAGGATGTTCTTTCCTTTGCTTTTCAAAGAGAGAGAGAGAGAAACGTGGATGTGAGAGAGACACATCGATAGGTCGCCTCCCACACGTGCCCTGATGGGGGCAGGGGGTCAAGCCTGCAACACAGGTACATGCCCTCAGCCAGAATCAGACCTGGGACCCTTCAGTCTGCAGGCCAGCTGACGCTCTAGCCACTGAGCACACCAGCCAGGGCCTTATTTTTCATTCTGCTTTCCATTTGCCACCTCTGGGTTGAGTGGGTTTCACCTCTTTTTTATGCCTGGTCCACAACCACTCACTGAGCAATTGTTGCATGAAGTCACCTTATGAAAGGAATTAAAATCAAAGCTCCTGGGGTTAGTGACCTGAGTACAGAGGAGACAGGTGGCCTCCGACAGGCTGAGCCAGGAAGCGGGAATTCTCAGCTCCGCCCGGCCTGCACCCAGAGCTCAGAGCCCACACATTCCTCTGAGACTAGAACAGCTCAGACTGCTGCACTGTGTCCGTCTGGACTGGGCTTTCTTGTTCTTAATCAAACGGCCAATGTTTCTGTCATTTCCCTGAAGAGGTCTCTTTACTTAGAAGCCTGCTCTCATATTCTGTACAGTAATCCCTCCCCTAATCCTTCTGTGTCCAAAGAATTGCTCTTCCCGACACACCCCACTGAGAACCCTGTGTGGTCCACAGACTGCAGAGATAAGTAGTTATAATTAGAATAACCTAAGTTTAAAAACTAGTTTCTAGTTAGTAGTTACTGATCATCCATCTACACAGTGGTGTCTAGTGTCTCAGACGTCCAGAGCCACCTACACTGCTCAGCAAGGAAGGAATCAAGCTCCCTGCCCAAGGTCCCACCTTTATCCACGACCACAGGCTCTGGGTTCACTTCTCAGTGTTGAAACCCTCACTCCATCCCTTACTAGCTGAGTCCTCCAGCCTCTTACTGCACCTGCCAGTGCCTCAGTTTCCTCAAATGTAAAATGGGAATGATGCACCTACCTGGGAAGTTGTCTGGGGTGCAGCAGGCGCTTGGCACAGCACCTGAACACAAAGTAAGGCCTTTGTGTTTGCTCTTCCCAGTCAACCACTCATGGGTTGTTATGGGACTGCAGCTATGAACAGCTGGGTTTTAAGATGATTTCGTAATTCAGCACAGGATGGGTCTATCTCAACTTTGCACAGCTGCAGCTCCTGCCATGCAGGTGCCAGGACTCAGCCCTTCGACCACACAGCAGGTCCGGGGCGCCAGGTATCACAATCCCATGTCAGTCGTTTAGGTCTGACAGCTGATTCAGGGACACAGAGCCTAGAGTAGTGTCTGCACCTCTCGCCTGGTGGTCACATCTAACCCAGTCTGACAGATGACTGTGAACATGAAACCAAACCTCTCTGCTCCCAATTCCCATTTGCACCAAATAAGATAAACCAGACGAGACCCTCCAGAAGGACACTGAAGAGCAGAGACCTGCTTCAGGGGTCCAGGATGGGTGAGGCAGGGGAGGTCCTGGCCAGTCGCCTCAGTGACAGGTGATGTGGAAAGAGGCAGACATGTTGGTGCAGGGGCCTCTGACCCTGTCCTTTGGAAAGTCATATCCTCTCTGAGCCTCAGACTTTTTTTTTTTTTTTAAATATATCTTTATTGATTTCAGAGAGAGGAAAGGAGGAGAGAGCTAGAAACATCAATGATGAGAAAGTCATTGATCAGCCACAGCCCGCAAGCCAGGCATGTGCCCTGACCGGGAATCGAACCCTGATCGCCTGGATCCTAGGTCGACGCTCAACCGCTGAGCCACGCCCAACCAGGCGAGCCTCAGACTTCTTGACAGTGAGGGGAAAAGGGAAGACGTAGTAAGTCTCTGTGTCTACCAGGCCCTGCACTGGGCAGCGTTTCTCAAAGTTTCATTTAACAAAATTGCTGTTGAGATTCCATGGTAGGCCAGTTGGGAGACTGCTCAAAGTGCATCCCAGCACTCCCTATAGAGTCTGGAACATTAGGTTAGGAATTCACAGATTATTCTGGGACAGGGGTTTTAGGGACCAGACATCACAAAGCACCCTCACAGTTACTGGGATAGATGCAAAAATGCAAATAAGGGAAACTGTGCCCTCCAGGTGCTCACCTCAAAGTCAGGAGGTCACTGTGCCTGCAGAAGGTTATGATAGAAACGCTAACTGCTAAGGTGGAGGTATTTCCAGGGTAGGGCAGGAGGGTCAGGGTCCTGTGTCCATCAAAGGCCTCAGGTGAACTCCCCCAAAGAGGTGATGCGCAAGCTGAATGCTGGAGGCGGCGGCAAGTGGACAGGCGGGGAACAGTGGGCACTGTCACAGGGACAAGACAGTGCATGCACATGAGCAGGATTTGCCACCAAGAGCTTGGTCTGCAGGATTCTGAGGGGCAGGAAGGGGCAGGCAGCTCCACAGGTCTTGCAGAAGTGTTGAGACCTCAGCCTGCAGGGTTGGGAGTGGGGAGACGGCACGTTCCATAGTCAGAGGACCCCTCTGGCTACAGTGATGAGGAAAGACCTCATAGCAGAACCCCAAGGTTCAGGCCTGGGCATTGGCCAGCTGAAGAGAATGAGGACCTTGAGATACTGAGAAGGCGGGATTGCCAGTCAAGAGTACATTTCCTGGCACAAAACAGGCAGACAAACACTTGTCAATCGGACAACTGGATGAAGACGGGCGCCATGCCATGCCTCCCCGGAGCGAACTCTGCAGAAAGATCACGTTTTGGGGAAAAGATATGCTCGCTGCCCAACCTGTTGGCTTCTCGGGTCTAAAACTGCAGAATAGTGACCTGGCTGGGAGAAGCTCAAAATCTCTTAGTGTGTAGGGAATAAGTGAAGTTCACGCACATACACACATACAGGCATACACAGGCAGATACATATACACACATGCACACATGCATTGCACACATACACACACAGACACACAGAGACACAGGCAACAGAGGAAGGGGCCCACAAAGGACTATCTTGTCTTGACTACCCACAAAGCAGTGATCAGAAGACAGGGTTTTAGGAGTTTCGTGTGAATTCTAGGCTCCAGTCTGGTCATGTTTCCCCTGCCTGATGCCTACAACCCCACGTTGAATCAGGGAACTCAGAGACTTAGAGCAACAGGTGCAAGACTTCCGGCCCATGGCCACCTGGGGAGGTGTCTGGAGACCCACGGGTGCTCTGCAGTTGCCCTGAGGAACTGATGCTGAATTGCTGACTCAGAGTGAAGAGCCCACACACCGAGGTGGACGTGTGGGCCCTGCCCAGGTGGGTAGGAAGCCCCGTGACTGTCACTCACACCCAGTGGTTATTCTGTGTTGCAAACACCCTGCTTGACAAATAAAACATTCAAACAAAACCTCCAGGGCCAGCAGCTTAACCCTCTGATCCTGGGTTTCTAGAGCCTCCTCAACACGTTTCAGGAAAACACTGGATGGCTGTTTTGCTGACATCCACCGTCAGCTCTGCCTGGTGCCACAAGATCACAGCTCCAGCACAGAGAACCAGCTTCCAGCTTCTCTCCCTTCTTCTTTCCGCCAGGTTTCAGGGCACCCTAACCAAGTGCCACAGACTGGGGCATAAACAGAATTCAGGGCCTCTGTTCTGGAGGCAGCAAGTCCAAGCTCAAGGTGTGGGCAGGGCTGCCCCCTGAGGACGAGAGGGGAGGCTCTGTCCAGGCCCCATCCACGTGTCTTCTCCTGACTCCTCACTTCCCTCTGCAAGTATGTGTGTCCACATTTCCCCTTTCCTTATGGACACCAGTCATGGCAGACTATGAACCCCCTAGTGACCTCAGCTCAACTCGATCGCCTCTGTCAGGCCCCACCTCCAACGGCCACATTCTGAACTCCTGGGGTTAGGACTCCTATAGATGACATCTGGGGGAAAACTCAACCCATAATACGTACTAATTAACTCAAAGCAGATATCAAGAAAAAGCACCCCTCCTATTTTGGGAATGGAATTCAGAAGAGACCAGGACACATTCCTGAGTGCCCATCGCAGGGAGGGAAGCATGGAATCCCACCGGCCACTCGAGTCAGGTGAGATGCTCACTCAGCACACACTGTGGCACCAATGCCTCCTCCCACTGTCCCCTCCCTGAGGAAACACTGTCCCTGTTTTCAGCACAGAGATGTCCCTGCTCATCTCACCTTCCACCCCCTCACCCACTCTGTTACCCCGGCTAACACTACATGGTGGGGGCCATGGTCTGATAACTTGAAAATTCTAAATATGGGCATCTTCATCGGTTTTCAGAGAACTCTATTTTTTCTACTCTCTTTCCCAGAGCACTGGCCACCAACACAACCCAAAAAGTACACAAAACCGGGTTCCAGGTGCCTCCTTCCGACCACACTGGCCTCCAGGACCCTGTGAGAAGCAAAGAGCAGTTGCTGTCTCAAAGCTGTGCCACCTCCCACCTCACAGAAGAGAAGCCACCAGACGAAGCCATGCCCACTGGCCCCGCAGACCTCCCAGCAGGTAGCCATGGAGTGGCCCACTGTGAGGAGGTCAGGTCAGAAGACACCGGCCTGCAGCTGGACCTCCGTGGTGGGGGACACATGTCCCTGGGGCCCACGGAGTGTGTGGGAAACCTCAACAGGGAGTCCTCGGTGCCCTCCTTCCTCGAGTTGTTTGCCAAGGCCGCCAATGCCCATTACCTACGACACAGGGTGCCCCCCGAGTCTGAGAGGATGCTCAGCATTGGGGAGATATTCGGGCACGGGGACCCATCAACCCAGAGCAGGGTAGCATCTAAGTCACCTCCTCTCTGACCATCCAGCACCCCTCACCGTAACACTCAATTTTACTTTAGACCCGTTTTTCCCCTTTCCCTGAATCCACAATGCCAGTGTATGAAAAATGAGGGGAGATGAGTCTTCTGAGGACAGGTTAAGTGACGCACCCGTTGCTAAAGTTGTCAAAATACAAATCTGCATTGACCACCGGTGTAGTTCCGAGTTCTGATCCTGTGGCGCCACCTGCTGGCCACACGGCAGGCCCTTGTGCCCAGGCCCCGTCTGAGAACAGGACTCAGCCAACCCTGCCCTCGGCGCGGCCTTGCCGACTGCCTGCATTTCTAGGTGGCCTCACTTTGGTTTTCTCATTCCCACCTCCAACGGCTCACATCAGACTTGAATCTAATCATGAACAATTTGCAAGAAATGTGCTCCCTCCAACATTTCCTTCCAAGAAGCAAAAGGACTGGGGAGGCAGGCCGGGGCAACACCTGGGTCAGGAACATTCATTTACTGGCAGTGCCAAGGCTGGGCCAGCGGGACACAGCCCGCTGTGCAAACCACCCAGCGCCACCCATCTGTGCCTTCTAGTCTCCTCCTCAGTCCCTATCACCATCACCCCAGGGTGGGTTCCCCGTTCTGTGCGGGTCTTTCTCCTGCAGCCACAGCTGAAGGCCAGGGCACCAGCCACCAAGGCTGCATGAGCATGGCACAGCCCCAGCCTCAGACGATGAAACCCATCCACGTCCCCTTTGTCTGTAGACCCGAGACACACACGCTCTGCAGGCTCCTCCTGCATCATGCTCCTATCTCCACATGCCTGGCAGACCCAGGTCTGTCTGTACGTCCAACAATACCTCATCCATTTTGTGTCCACACTTCACACATGGCCACAGAATTGAGGGTTCACTCAGTGCCTTAACTGTAGCATCTGAGCCACATTCAACTTACTACTCGGATAACAGCTTCGCAGTCATCCACCTCAGAAAACGTTTCCTTCCTTCACAGTTCCTGCACTCAGTGCTCACCCTCCCTCAAGCAGAGGAAGCAGTCATTGTGCCTGCAGATCAAATGGGCTTCCGCCGGGCACAAGGCGAGGCAAGACCGCTGCCCTCGGGCCCTGGCTTCACCCTTGCGCTCACGCTCTCACAGCGAGTGCCACCCTCATGTTCATGTACAGAATGTTCAACTTAATTGAAAATACCTTTAGCAACAAAAGGAGAGAAATTATAACAAAATATTCATACTTCAAAGTGTGTAACAATTACATTGATATATAATTTTTCACTTTTACTAACCCGAAACTTCACTCACTTCACTGTATCCCAGGTATGGTGACATTTAGGGTAAAAACATCTAAGCATTTTAGCATTTTTGTCTTCGTGTCAAATAGCTCCACCCTGCCCAATAGCTCAGCTGGAAAATTTCATTGAAACAATGTAAAACATTTCCTGCCCATTTACATGCATTAAAATGTGAGTGTGGAAGCAGGTGTCAGCAGTGAACACACTTTCAGATGGAGTTAGAGCCAGGCCCACGGTCACATGGACTAACCTCAATGTCAGCAAGACGCTTTTAAAATAAGGGAGAAATAAGAGAGGCAGCCAAGCACACATTCAGTGGTTCCTGAGAAACTACAAGGCACCTGGATGGGGTGGTCAGGACTGAATCTCAGGACTGTTAGGAGGGGTGGAAGAATTAAGGTGGAAGACCTAAGGCAATGCTCACAGGAAAGGGGCACAGCTGAGACTGTCACTCAGAGTGGCTGTGTGTCCTGCCACGACAGGCCAACAGGAGGACCAGTGTGCCCGCATCTCGGCTACTCGAGGCCATGCCTCGTCCCAGAGCGTGGCTTGGGCTCCAGTTGGCAGAATGTAAACCCATGGACAGAGGTGACCACTGGGTTATGCTAGCAGAGCTCGATGGGGGACACCACTCCAGAGAATAGCTAAGTGATGTTTTACTTTATGAACCTTTTCCACAAGCACGCACAGCCTTCGAGAGAACACTGGACGGAGGGAGAAAGACAGTGAGAGTTCAGTTCACTGCAAACAGCGCCATCCCACCCACCAGGAGCCCACGAGCCACAGAGGGCAGAGGGGTTCACGGTCACTGTCAGCTGTGCTAATCTGCACTCAGGATGGTGACCCTAAGGTGCTTTTCCAGGGCCAGTAGTTTTCGGTAAAATTTTTCAGCAGTGTCTTCGTCGAGGTCCATCTGGAAAGGAAGGGGAGAGAAGGGTGACTGGAGCGGAAATGACATGGACACTACTGTGGGGTAGGAAGGCGCTCAGCGTGTAGGATTGAAGGACAGGGCCAGGAGGAAACCCAGGAACAGTGCAGTGTACCTTCTCGGTCGTCACATAGTTGCTCCCGAAGCCTGTGGTGGCGCTCAGATACTTGGTCAGAGAGTTAAGAGACTCAGGCTTCTGGTGGAAGAGCCACACCTGGAAGGGAAGAGGGGGCGATTGTTTCTGTCCTGACCAAGGCCAGCATGGCTGGTGGGATGTGAGAGCGAGCGCCTTGCTCCAGACAAACCAGAAATCCTCTCGACCACCTAGTGGTCACGTCATGAGCCACGCTAGGACTTGGAGAAAGAATAGGGATAGGGCAGCCTGCTGGACAGTTTGGCCCATGAACTGACGGGTCTTGGGTTCAATTCTGGTCAAGGGCATGCACGTTGGTTGCAGGCTCGATGCCCATCTGTTGGGGGGTGGCCGGAGGCAACCAATCATTGTGTCCCTCTCACATGGATGTTTTTCTCTGTCTCTCCCCTTCCATTCCACTCTCTCTGAAAAAAACAATGGAGAAAATGTCCTCCAGTGAGAGTTTTAAAAAAAATTCTGTCTTGTCTTTTACAGGTCCTGGGAGTAGCTAATGTCCCTGTGCTCTTCCAGTAATGACATATTTTAACTTTTATGTATAAATCTTTTCATTTATCTAGAATTTTATTTGGTGTCAGGCCTGAAGAAAAGGCCCTGCTTTTCTGGCAACATCTGCTGAACAGCCTCTCTTCCCCACTATTTGGAAATACCAGTGTCACCCAAGTGCCTGTGTGCCATGGGCCTGCTGTAACCTCCTATCTGTCCCACACATCTGTCAGTTCACGTGCCAGGGCATGCTGCTTGCATGAAAAATTTTCTTTAAAATTTTACCTGCTGATGGGGTAGAGGGGGTCCATGGGGGGAAAAGAGGGACACCTGTAATACTTTCAACATTAAAGATAAATTTAAAAAAAAAAATTACCTGCTGAAATATACTGAACCCTTACAATATGCCATCTCTCATTTATTCCTATAATTTTTTCTACAGACAATAAAAGACTGAGTGAAAAAGTGCACCCAGGGGTTCCCGGCAGGGAGCTGGAGAAGTGGGATTTGAATAGAATCCAACCCGTGCCTCATGCTGAGCCTGTCTGGGGAGAGGAAGCTCACCTGACGACAGAGCGCTTCCCCCCGGCCCGCACCCGCAGCGTCACAGCCTGTGGGGTGGTCGCCCACCCGCCGCTGGTCAGGAAATTCCAGCAGTCACACACTATTTTAAAAACCATGGCCCTGGGGTCAAGCTGCCTGTCCGCCCCGCTCCCCCCACTCCGAGCGTCCCCAGCACTCGCCGCCGAGGGCAGAGTCTTGCTTGTTGCCTATTTCCCACCCTCATTCTTTCCCTAAACCGGACTGAGCTCCTCATAACAGTTTCTTCTTCCAGTCCCCACGGGCCGCTCGGCGCAAACCTGACCTCTGGCCTTTGGTTTTCCACTTGCTGTGTGGAGTGGCCAATCCCTAAAGGGATGTTCACTGAAATGTCTACAGGTTTGGCAAATACATTAAGGACTAATGAGAGTTAGTCTGAATGCCCTGGCCGGTGTGGCTCAGCGGTTAGAGCATCCGCCTGAGCACCAAGGGTCACAGGTTCGATTCCTAGTCACGGGAATGACTGAAAGCCCTGGGTTTCGGGTTTGCTCCCAGACCCGGTCGGCGCGCGTCTGGGAGGCAACCAAGGATGTCTCTCTCTCTCTCCCCCTCTCCCCCCTTCTACTCTCTCTGAAAAGCAATGGGAAAAAAATAGTTTGAAAGCACCTGATTCTGCAATCCGCTTGTGTCCCTACCACAGATGCACTTATCTCTGCAGCACTTTCCAGAACATGAGTGTCAGCTGGTGTGTTAGCTGATCCCTGGTAGATGCTTTCCCAGCTCACTCTCATTCAGCCGGATTTAAGAATCTACTGAGCATGCGCAGGACAGCGCTAGGGCCTCCCGTCTCCCGATGAACAGGAAAGTCCTGAAGGAGCCCGTGGAGGGAGGGACAAACACAGAGTGACTTTAAACGGGAACTTCACCCAGACAGTGCTCAGAGGACGGTGAGGTCACCTGGTGACCCGAACCCAGCAGCAGAGACATGGGGGTGTCACGTGTCTGACGGATGTGACGATGACCCACTGGCGACCGCTGCCTGCCGGTGAAACACAGCAGCCCCTGGCGGCCCAGCGAAGGAAACACACTGGCTTCCCGACAGAGCAGCAGCTCGACCCGGCTGTGAGCGGAGGAAGGGGAGTCTTCACTGCCTCTGCCCCGACCCACGGGAGCACCTCCCCAGGAAGCCCACTGACTGCCCGGCCACCATCTGCTCTGCCTGCCCCTGGGGACCCACTGCTCAGCCTCCGCAGTGCTGTCCCTGCAACGACGGGCAGTCCCAGGGCACACAGCACCAGCAGCCTCACCGGGTCTCGGCAGGACCGCGGGTCTCCACAGGCACGTTCCCGTCTTTCCCGCCCAGACGGTTTCTGCCACCAGGGAACCTGCGGCTCACATCTGCTAGTGATCGTACAAGCCACGCAACCAGTAACATACCAGGGCCTCGGCTCCGTTGTACGGCTTCAAGGTGAACGAGTTTGTAAAGAAGCGAAGCTGAGGAAGAGAAATTAGTTGTCATTCTCTGGCGGTTTAGAACAAGGTTGCAGAAGAGTTACTTACTCAGACATTTAAAAAGGCACATGCATTTCTCATCACTGAACATTTTTAAGTGTCAACGAATAAAGGGTCTAAAACAGAAATATCCCTAGTGTCCATCACTCCGAGCCAACCACTGGACACCAAGGCTTATTTCCTCCTGTCTTCTCTGCGCCCGCTGGGACGGAGGGACAGGTTTCCTGAGTGCCACCATGGAAGGACAGTTCCTAAAAGCAGCATCTTCTGGTGCACTGAAGGCACAGTGCTCCCGGAAGATACTCCACACACACAACAGAAAAGCCAGCACGCGACTCATAGGTCAGAGGCACTCTCACCCTTCCTGGAGCTCTAAATGCATGTGACCACGGCACTCAGAAGACTCTGTTCACTACATTCGGCCCCAGGACCTACGGAGCATGCTCAGGGACACACCACTCTCGGAGACAGGGACCGAGGACACCTGCTGTTGAGGCTCGGCTGGTGGGAAGCAGTGGCTAGGAGCTATGAGACTTCAAACCTCAAGTGACCTGGGATTCTGCCACCTCCAGGTTCAATTTCTTAAATCAGTTCACAAACCAATCAAACACACCTTTCTGGTCTTGACCCGAACAGCTTCCATAAACAGAGAAAGGAGGTGTTGGGCAGGCGCTCACTCACCAGCCATATGATTGGCATCATCAGGGTCCACACAAAGGAGGGCACGATTCCGTAGGTCAGGTTGGTCAGCATGGTCCCCGGGCACACCACACTAGAGAACAGGCCCTGGGGGCAGAAGGGCAGGCAGGGCTGAGCTGGGGCGTGCTGACCCAGTCCAGCTCCAGGCTGGTGAATCAGGGACACCACCAAGGAGCCAGGACACAGGCCGGAAGGGTTTCTGCTCTGCACGTCCTGGACGCTGGAGAGGCCATTTCAGTGGAAGGATCAGGGACTGAGAACTCACTGTAAGGAGCAGTCAGGATGCAAAAACTAGGGAGACAAAGTCTCTGATCTCAAGAACCCTCTCAGACAAGAGCAGCCAGGCCTGCAGCTGAAGGAGAAAGTGGGCCTGGTTACCCGAGTTTTCCACATTGTTGGGCCAACTGCAGATCAGTTTATCGATCCTAAAAACCACTTGAGATAAAGACACACACAGCACAGCCTCTGCCTCCAAGTTTTGCTCCAGGAAATATGGACACAAACCTGCCCTGTGTGTCTGCCTCCCTGCAGGTACAGACCCAGACCTCAGGTGGGGTCCTGAGGTCAGAGCAGGGAGGGCCGTGTGGTCCCGCAGAGACCACCTCCATCAGGTCCCTGCCACAGGCCTGCAGCCCAGGACTTGTCATGTTAGAAAGCTCTGTCCCGTACAGACAGCCCAGTAACACAGCTCATGGGACTAGAAGGGGACCCTGTGCAGCTGGGCCTCCCTGCAGAACTGGGGCTTGTTTTATACCACTGAATTCAGTTTAATTTTTACCACATTTTACCTTATTTTGATACTAACAATTTCAACTTATATTTTTATTACTTTTAATCTTGTTTTTCAAACATAAAGCAGGAAGTCCCAGTGTGACAGACAGTCGTGTGGACAGGAAGCCCCTGAGCAGCAGACCCAAGAAGCTTCTCTTCCCCACAACTTCAGACCCCGCTCCGCCCTTCCCCAGAGGCAGGAACCACTACTGCCCCTACTGGTCAAATGAGGAAACAGAGGCCCCAGATTAAACATTTTAGCCGAGGTCACAGAGGCAGTGACAGAGCCAGGATTAGTCCTGCCCAGCAGTGAGCTCTCAGCTTCTACTCTTAGGCAACCTCTCCTCTAAGGGGCAGGACTGCGAGCCCCAACGCAGAAGCGAGACCCCACCTGACAGGCCTCCACTGCAGCACAGAGCAGGTCCTACCCATGGAGGCTGACTGCTATGTGTAACGCACAACCTAAGCTGCTCCCTCAACAGCAGGCAGCTCCACCGTCATCTCGTGATTCCTCCCTCCTCCTCAACCCCGAGCCTGGCCCAGTGCCTTAAACATGGTGAGCCTTCTACAAATATTAGTGGAACTAAACACTCCAACAACAGTCAACACAATCAGGAAGATGCCGTGGGAAGGACAGGAGATGTTACGATTTGAGACATACAAGGTCGCAGTACATTCCAGATCCCCGAGCTGCAAGAGCCAGCGTGACTGACAAGGGTGCCTCCTACAGAAACGCCCTCCATACCTAGGGTCCTGACACACACAGCTCAGACGACTCACTGATGGCCACCTCTCCAGACTGGGCTATGACGTGCATATGAACACCAGGAGGCAGATGGTTTGGTGGGGAATCCAGGCCACAAAGTCAGCAGCCTGGGCCCCGCCCTGAGCTGCACCCTCCACTAGTTCTTCACTTGCCCTCCCCATACCTGTGTCCTCATAGGACGATGGGAATACACAGACCTACCTCACCATGACAGGAAAGGTATAAGAAAGGTATTAAATACACAGGTGAAGAGTGAGCACCTAAAACACAGCAAGTGTTCAGCAGCAGCGCCTGGCGTTGTTAGTGTGGCTGTGCTAGAGAGAAGTGCAGGACGGTGACCATCCCTGTATACCTAAGAGGTCAGGAGCTCACTGTCTCTGCCCTAAAACGTTCCTATGCACCAGCCATCAGTCCCATTCAGGTCTCATCCTTCCTCACAACGATCCTGCTCAAGAAACAATGTTGCATCTTCTAAACCACAGGGCGAACAGCGAGCCCCGTCAGAGGATTCCCGGTACCCGCACCGGAGCGGGGCTCACCCGCTGGTTGAAGTTTCGGTTCAAGGCCACACTCAGAAGGTCCAGGGCGTACTTGGAGGAGCTGTAGGGCTCCCGGCCTCTGCTGTGCTGGAAGTCCTCCAGGCTGAAGTTGGACCTCCTGGCACTGCGGGAGGACGTCCAGATGAGCCGAGAGGGGCTGTCACTGGGACAGAGGAGAGGTTCCAGCTCCCGAATCTGAGGGGAAAAGAAACAAAAACTGTATCAAGGTCTACTGGGTGGTACTGGTAACAGTTCTGAAACTACTACAATGTCTACTGGAATGGAGCAGATTTGTCGCTGGGAGTGGGCGTCGCAAGTAAGCCTGGGGCAGGGCCAGAAAGCCCCACAGGGGAATGGATTGGAGTTGACACCTCAGCCTGGACTCGGGTTCACCGTGATTAAGATTTCGATGGTTACATGTGGAAATATGTACAGATATGTGCACACACATGGGCTGGTACACACATACACACCCCCTTGGTGTCAGCTGAGAGGGCCCAGAAGCATCTGCTGCCTCAACAACAAGCACCTAGGACTTACTATCTAACATCCCCTCCAATAAAAGAAGAGATCTCCTTAAAGAAATGGCTGGTTCTAGGCCTGGGGCAGGGAATAGGCACAGTGAGTTTGAAGCACCTTAAAGTGTCAGGAAGGACGTGCCTAAAACAAACACAAAACCATCACAATGAGGGCGTAGCCAAGATGTACAGGACCCAGTGGAAACATCTGAACAAGAAACTAAAGTCATATTTATAACTCAAAGCAGAAACTACATACCCATAAGTCCACATGGATATCTGTCTTTACCAATCACTTAACAATTCAAACAGAGGGCAAAGAAAGACAAGGTTATGAAAAAATAAAGGAAACATTAGATAATGATCTCTGTAATTTATTTTTAAAATGGCCAGGTAGAATTCAACCCATCCTGACTTTATATTTTAATTAACTTCTGATTGAAAAACTAGTATCATATAAAAAATAGTACTAAAGTATATAGAATAAAACATGAACCTCCACTTACACCTGAGGCCCTGGCACCCAGTTCAAAGGCAGCCAGTGTTCCATTTGTATCATTCTAGAAATATGATACCCACGTAGATGGAGTATGTAATGATATATCTGTTTGTTTACACAAATGCGGTCACACTATACAGAAGGCTGCTTCTCCATACGAATAAAACCCTGGAGGCTGTCCCACACTAGCGCAAAATATTTATCTCATTTCCTTTCATGGTTTCATAATATCCCAATGTTTGCATATATCTTAATTTATTATAAATATAGGCTAGTCCTCAAGGAGGTGGTCTAATTTTCAGGAAAACAGGCTCAAGGTACAGAAAAGTGAGCGTGAATCTGAGTGTCAGAGAAGCAGGCTGTGAGCAGTGAAGCCGGCATCAGGAGTCCCAGCACCTGGAGTGGCCGGCCGCTGGACAAGGTCCGCGTGACTCAGGCTAGACACTAACGTTACGCCATGATATTAACCTGAGGCGGGAGCACGGAACAAGGCAGACAAGGTACAGATCTCTGCTTCACCTGACACCTGTGCCTGGAATTGCAGCACACAGCACAGGTGCTTGAGAAATTGAGAATCAGGGTGATAAGAGATTGGCTATGAATCGGCGTTCAATGCCTGCCTGCTACCTCCCATCTGAAGCCAAGCCCGGCTCTGAAGGCCTATGTGTTTCTTCCTACTTTCTCTCCACTCTCCAGAGGTGACGGCAAAAGAAAAGTAATATCTCGATTGGCTGCTGTAGGGACCGATGTTTTCAGAATAGAGTGACCATCCTATTTAAATACTCAAAGATCAAACACCAGCAACACGCTACTGAGCTTCACAAAACAGCGCTGTGGTGTGCCCGGACAGCCTTTAGGATCCCAGCACCGAGTGTTGGCTTGTTGACACTTTACCAGGACAAAGTGGCCAAAGACATTGGTTGCAAAGACCTCCTGGAGCCCGTCGGCAGTGACCCTATCGTCCTGGGTCAGCAGTCCTTCAGCTGTGGAGAACACACGAATCATTTTTCTGAAACAGCAGAAGACAACTGCATGACCTTCAAAAATCCTGCAACTGGAGACACTGAGATGCTCCCTGCTGCCCTCCCCGCCCCCAACCCCATGTCTTTGATTCTGTAACAACAGGAACGAAAAGACCTATTTCTCAGACTGGGGGACTGTGCCGATATGATGTGGAGATGCCTCCTTCCCCCCGAAGTACTCACACACTACAGCCCATGCTGCCAACAGGTACCTGAGCCTCTAAACGCCTGCTAAAATTCTCCTCACCTCTTTCCAAATTGGTTACAAGTCAAGGTTCCTGGGGGACAACAGCTATGCGGAGGAGACGTCCCCCACACTAACTGAGGGCAACTGCCCAGCACAGTCTGGCAGCTGGTTCTTACCGGGCATTTGTGGAGCATCAAACATACTACTATGGTGTTTGCTGTGAGATCGTAAGAGTAGGTCAAGGCCAGTGTGGGCGTGAGTGTGTATGTGAGTTTAATGGAAAAGAGTAAAACAAATATAGAGTGACAACTTCTAGGAATGAGTACACGAGGTCACAAGGTCAGGCAGCTTTCTTCCTGTGGGCTGGGGTCAGACATTTTCGGAAGCCACCGCACTGTATTAAGTATCTCCAGGGAGACAGTGAGTTGTGGGGGCTCCCCAGCCTGCTGGTCAGAGCACCTGACACGAAGGAGCCTTCCTGGGGACTGGAGTCCCGCTGCCAACCTGCCTAATTCTAAAGGACTCCTGTCACAGACATTGTGGACCCAGAGCAACAAGGAACGGTGACGGTGACTTTGCCCATGAGAGACAAATGCTTTTCTTCCCTCCTGTCTTCGTTCTTCTTGACACCCCCTCTGCCCCGCAACTTTACATCCCAGGGCAAAACTAGACTGAGAAGTAAACACCTTCCTAATGCCCCATGTATCTGGAAAATGGTAATTACCTTGAAAACAGGCTGGAGAAGAGCGCTCTGAGGTTTAGGTGTGGGTTGGGCATGATGCCAGCGTTCAGGTACACATAGTCAAACCTCTGAAACCTGCAAGCAAAATGCAAGGCAAGGAGGCCGGTCATGTGGGAACAACTCCTCCCCCCCTCCCCCCTCCCCCTTGTCTTTTTTAAATATTTCAGAGAGAGGAAGGGAAAGGGAGAGAGTGTTGAAATATCAGTGATGAGTCACTGATCAGCTGCCTCCAGCACGCCTCCTACTGAGGATCAAGCCCGAAACCTGGGGCATGCACCCTGACCAGGAATCAAACCCACGGGCAGGACTCCTCTTCTCACGGTGGCTTCATGCAGGGTTTGGGGAGCTACAATAGGCTGTCCAGTCAGACCCTCTCTGATCAATCCTCCCTCAACTGCATACCCCCAAGTAGGCCCTGCAGCCACCCTCAGTCTACTAAACCCCCTCTCCTCTGGTCTTAGGCAGTTTGGGGCTTATTTATTTATTTATTTACTTTAGATTCATGTCTTCCCTAGTTGACAAGATTTATACAACACTGACATTCACCTAATCTGACCCATCAATGCTGGAGTCTGACTGCCAAGATATTCACTAAAGCTGAAAACCCTGACCCTTTCGCGCCCCGTGCTCTGAACCGCAGGATGATGGACGCTCGCAGGAATGAGACCAGGTCACAGAGGCTGAACGAACTCTCAGCGGTTCCCTCCGGGACGCTTGTCATGGAGGAACTGGGACATGCCGAGTTGAGAAAACTTTTTCATTTTTAAACCTCATAAGGCTGAATCTGAGTGTACTTTTTTTCAACCAGGTTCAAGATAAGTGTCGCCTGCACTCATGATACAGGCGCTGTGAGCATTCATAATGCCTCCTGGATTCTGTGCACACACAGTCCGGTGAGCCCAGGACAATGCAGATCACACACACACACACTCCTGGTCAGCCTGTAAGTCACTGACAGCCAAGTGCCTCTAACTGCAAAACTGTTTAAAATGCCTAAATATTGATTCCATCAGATCACCAAGTGTCACAAAGACAGTGTGGGTCCATGAACCATAGGGTGTCCCATCATCTAATTTGCAAACTTTCATCGAAGTCTATTAACCACTGTTGCTGGGAACGCGCAGGGTGCTCAGCGGAGCGGACACCGCACCGGACACCAGAGCAAGGCCTGGCCTCAGGAAAAGGGCGTCTTACCTCTCCAAGAGCAGGGGCCTGAGCGTCTACTCTGACCAAGAGGCCCGCGGTCCTCGTCGGCGCTCAGGCCCGCACCTGGCAGGGCGGGAGCCCCGGCGGCCCGGGCTGGCGCTGTTCAGCCAGATGGGCGGGGTCCTTCAGGCTCTCCGCCGTCCGCAAGCGATGCCCCTTTGGGCATCGGGTGCGGGAGGTTCCTGACCTGAGCCAGAGGTCTGTCTGCCCAGCCGCCCGTTCCCGAGCTCGCACGCGGGCCTCGCTTCCTAAACCCGGAGAGCGCGCCCGCCTNNNNCCCGCCTCCGGGCGCTGCGGCGGCTGGACGCCTCGCCCCGGCTGCCTCCTCCCCGCCTCGCCGCCTCAGGTCGGGCTAAGTCACCCAGTGCCTACCAGACGCCGCACTGCCACCTGTGGCAACACGTCCTCCCCGAGGGGCCCGGGGGAC